AACCCAATTTTGTGGAGGTTTCAATGCTGTTGCGGTCTTCCACACAGGCTTGAAACGTGAGTTCCTCTTCTTTCTGGCTCAATCGTTTTCTTCTAATAAATGAAAATTGGAAATTATTCCGTCTTCGATATTAGCTCAGATTTAATCCGTGGGAAATTCTTCAAAATTTTTCGTAGGACAGTGACAGTGAACGTTAATTAATAGGGCCTAATTCCTTCTCAAAAATGGGGGCTAGAGCATTTGGTTCATTTCTCTGGTTAATTAGTTCAAATGGCCCAAAACGTGAATGTTTAGCCAATTGCTAATGTTATGCACTCTTATGTCTATAAATCATATATCGATCTATATGTCACTATACGATTTGACTAATCACCTTGAATCTGTATGTTTGAGGAGTACACCAGATGCCTAAAGCTGTTTTTGAGACAAGTTTCGATGGTAATTCAAAGCGACCTCGAATATTGTTCCTACTACAACTGAATGGCAGAAATGAGCGTCAGGTACGTTCTTTTGTTGTCTATTCCCCTTGTTGTTTTCTATTCATTATTTTGTAATTTCTAGGTCAAGAGACTTCTGAAGGCGCTCTATTCACCTTACCACTATTACTATATTCATGTCGATCAACGTCAGCTTTATATGCTTACAGGTTCAATTACAAGGGTGTTACGGAAGTTTATCGGAGTTTTCAGGGTGATCGAAAATCTTCCTTTTTCAGAGATGAAAATTGTCGCAGCGAAACTAGCAAATGTATTTGTCTCGCCAGATGCTCATAGCACTATATGGGGCGGTGCTTCTTTACTGACCATGGTGCAAGGTTTGTTACTTATGAGTGTTTCATGCATGGAAAAGTTTGAATCAAATCACGTTTCGCCGATTTAGATGCTATTCGCCGCTCTATTTCCATACCATTGCTATCAGATTGGGACTATCTTATCAACTTATCTGAAAGCGACTTTCCGGTCATGACACTTGCTGAGTTTGAAGCACAGCTTCGCGCGTGAGTTCCTATATTCCTCCTTTAGGAATCAAGGATGCCATGGTTTTCATTATCAACTTTTGGCGTGCATTTTTTGATGTTTTCGTGAATATCCATTATTTACAACCGGAAAAACCACTAGGTCGATTTTTATGAGCTATCTCGAACCATCTACTCTTGGTTTAGCGTTCATCCTTTGTCTTATATTAGAGCGTGTATCGTTGAACAGGTCTAATCAAGAGTTGTGCGATATTTTAAAAATGCAGGCTTGGACCTCTCGTTTTTGTTTAACTTCCTATTTGCAAGCTGATCGATCGAGCCGCAGCCTTCGGGGGCTTTACTTTGCCTTAAACAACTTGAACAAGTTGATTTTGATGACAACATTACAAAGTGAAGACTTTCGCGCAACTCTTTATTGTTACAGGAATCCTGGAAAATCATATATGAGTAGTCATGGCTATAACAC